ACGCCAGTCCTTAGCATGCTGCTGTTGTGTGGATCGTGAAAGAAGCATACCAACAACAGCTATGTGTCCCTGTTGGGCTGCCAGATGCAGTGGAATCACGCTCTACAACAAATTCGGAGATGAATATCAGTTTTCTTTTAGTTCGTTATACTTATCAAAAAAGTTTTGTGTGCTGCTCTGAAAGTTTGCTTAGAAAGCTCGTTTTGTGTCTTACAATCCATGAACTGCCAGGCAGCGCGTATTCTATTACGAATGCATTGATTTCGCTTGTCGTATGCCTTGTTAGAAACTGCAGCACATTTATTCAAAATTTCTCAGAAAATGAAAATTACAAACCATAGTCGTTGAAGTAGCATCCACTTGTACTCCCTGATTGAGCAGCATACGAACCAATGCATCGTGTCCCGACTGGGCCGCCAAATGCAGCGGCGTAAATCCGTACTGTAAATATATAATAAAAATTAAAATTTGCAAGATATTCTCTTTCCCCTAAAAAAAAATGCTAAGCATTTGAAAAAATAAATAAATAAATAATTTGGGATTTCGGAAAAAATAACAGATTTCTCAACACCACTCGTTTTCCTATTTAAAATTTTCAATATTTCTCACTTTAGCCATCTTTTAATTTTAAAACAATCAAAAAAAATTTTCGGGAAGTGTTAAAAAAAGAGTCTTACATATAATTTCTTACAGTAATCTTCTATAACTTTCCTACACATTTTGTACCCGTAGAAGGCTGCCAATTCGGACAGTTAGTAATAATAAAACAGCAGCTGATATGATGAGGGGAATGTTATTCAGAAGTGAATTCGAAAATGATTCTGTCGTCCATTTGTTATTTTTCTTTTATTCTATTGATACGCTGCTATTCTATCCTTAACGTTTGGCGCAAATATTTACGAATTTAAATTCAGACGTGCCTTATAATTTTTCCGAAAGGATGAGAATGCAGAAAGGATGCGGAAATTAGCGACGATGCGAAAAGGATGAGTGCGCATAAATTTTTAATGTGACGGACTGCAACAAATGTCCGATACTTAATATTTAATAGCAAGAGTTATCAGCTAACTGTATGTTACTCGTAACCGGCCACTCGACAAACAAAAAAAATTTAACGAACAAGTTAACAAAAAATTAACGAACAAGTGGTGGTTCGGGAGAGGAAAATGGAAAATAATTGATAATATTGATGGTACTGCTCTAGAAATCTATGAAAGCCTGGTGCATACGCATGTATTCAAATTGATCAAAAAGTGACACCTTTTTATTTGACATAAAAATTTAATTTCAGCACTCACTTCGGTGGCGAACTCCTTGACCACATAATGATTATAAATAGGTGGTTCTGATCGG